CTCTTAATTAAATCTCAAAATTCCTATATCACTTAAAAGTGAACCATACCGTCAAAATCTAAATGATGCACACATGTCTTCGTCGTTGGATTTTTCAAATTGTGACCAAAATTTTTCTTCATTTTCTAATAACTACCCTAACTTAAGCGATAATTGTATTCAGAAAAATTCAGTCCAAATCCAATTAAATAAAAAAAATGAAGAAGTTAAAAATGCACAAGATGCATTAAAACGATTAAAAACTACATCAGAGTTAAAAATAAATAAAATTGTAAACAAATATGAGGCAAAAAGTAAATCTAAAAACAAAGTGATTAATAGGTATAAAAACCAAGTATATATGTTATATACAACTTAACTCGTAAATGAAATAAACGTACAAAAGCTTCAAACGAAGCAATAAAGTTTAAAAAATTATTTAATAAACTTGATGACGAAATAAAAGTATTTTTAGTTAGGCAAATTAACCATATTCAGAAAAGTAAATGGACTGAAAAAGATAAACAGTATGCTATATCTTTATTTTATAGATCTCCAAAAGCGTATTGCTACCTTCGAGAGAAAAAAAAACATTTTAAGTTTCCATTGCGTAAGTAACATTAGAATTTGGATTAATAAGTTAGATTTAAAACCCGGTAAATGTAACACTTTGTTGACATTATTACAAATTAAATCGTCGCTAATGCACTCCAAAGAAAAGGAATGTGTTTTATCGTGGGATGAAATGAGCATAAAAAAGTGGCTAGATTATAATACTAAAAAAGATATCGTTGAGGGGTTCACATATTTGGGAGAACTAGGTCGCTCTCCAACAGAAGGTAATCACGTTTTAGTTTTCATGTTAAGAGGTAGACAAACTGATTGGAGGCAATCTATTAAGTACTATGTCGCCCATAACTGTGTACCTGGAAAAAAACTAAGCAATTTAATTCTAAATGATTTAGATTTCTCTGAAGAAGCCGGTTTTAAAGTTAAAAGTGTGGTTTGCGATATCGGCCGTAGCAGTCAAACTGCGATAAAAAATTTGGAATAACGCCAGAAAAACCATCCATTGAAAAATTTGGTCGAAATTTTTTTTTAATTATGACCCTCCTCACGTAATTAGATGAAACTATAACGCTACTATATAGCAATTCCGAATTTAATTGATTTACAAAAATCATTCGATGAATTAAATGAAGTTATTGAAGAAAAAAATGATGGACAAATAAGCTTTAATAATAAACGTATTGATTCTGTAACTGATTTAGAGGTTTGCGCTTTTATGGATGCAGGGGATGAGATGTCAGAAAAACATGATGCAAATATTAAGAATACTATTTATTCTAATGATCCTTTAAACAAATGCTCACGGTTTTCAGATGCACAAGATTGTAATAGCGATAATGATGATTCGATAATATCTTATAAGGAAGTTGATGACTTTGTCGAAGATGAATTAGATAGTACTTCTAGCTTGAATGAAGTTTTTGATTGTAAATCATTTGATACAAATGTGACCATCAATGAGGAACTTTCAGAAACGAGTTTTAAATGTTTATCAATATTTGAAAGAGTATCAAATAATGCATCTTCGACTGGCTCAACTTCTCTATATCTCAATTCACTCAAGTACCTTGCCGGATATTTTGCATACAAAGGTCTAAAAAAACTAATTGTGAAAAGTGTGAAAATTATTTTGTTCATAAAAATGTTAATTTTATTTCAATGACAGATCTTTTATTTTTTAAAGCTTATAAAGTTTCTCAAAATACTAACAAACTTGGTAATCTTTGCATACCTACAGAAGTAATACATATTTCACTTGATATTTTTGATGTTAAGTTTAAAAATGTTTGTTATTTGGAAATTGTCAGTAAGTTGATTTTAAATGGTATAAAAAAATTTAAATGAAATCAATCCATCATTTTTAATCATTGACGACTCTTGTAAATCACATCGACAACGGTTATTAGAATTTTTAGTTATCAATAGGTCATCAATAGGTAATGTAAAAAAGCAATTTCAATTTTAGAATAAAAATTTCTTAAATATTTGCTCCGTGCGTAACTCACGCGACACCTACCGCCTTCATCTGACAGTTTTGGACCCCCCAATTTTCAGGTTAAACATATGACATATGTTTGACATTGTTAAATACATGCGAAATTGACAATTATTAATAATTAGTTTTTTAATTATATTTTTTCAGTTTATGTACAAAATAAATGTAGTATTAAAACTGGGTTTCTCACAATTCATCATAATATATCTTTTCAACCCAAACGGAAAAGAAATGGAAAAATCTAGTACTGGAAAATTAAGTTTTTCACGTGAAAGACCATATAATTAAAAACAATAATAATAAAAGTTATGATATAAAAGCTAAAGTCATCAGGCAGTTAGCTTGAAGCCTTATGAAATATTATTTAAGGTAAATTATTAAAATTTTTCCTCTTTCAATAGCATAAAAATGAAATTATGTGATATTTACTTTTTCATGCTAATAGCACAAATCCATCTTTTTCTTTTCTTTAATTTATATGTAATATTTGGGAACCTATAAAAACTACACTCAATATTTTTGCTATTATTAGCACAATTAAATACGCAACATGTATTTGTACACATTTTTGATAAAATTTATGTGTAAAAAGATAGGTCCAATTAGGTCATATTTCGCCGCTAAGCACGCTGGCATCGTTTCAAGGTACCCCTACCATGGTCACGCACGGAGCGAATACATTCAGCTATAACAATTTTTAGATTATTTTCTTCAATACCTTATCTATTTGTTCAATTTTTTTTATGCTTTTATTTCACTACTTTATATTTTAAGTTATACACAGAATGTCATTAATATTATAAAAATTATTATTTTTCCTTTTAATAATATTACTAATACCTTTATTAGTTAATTATGTTTTAGTACTAGTTGTTATTTTAAAAGATTAAATAGTACCCATACAGCGTAAAAACTTTAACATAGACTATTCATTAAAAGTTACTGTTAAATATTTCAAAAATAAATCAGGAATGCTTTTTGTTCTTATTAAAAAATTATGGATGAAATGGAAGTTTCGGCGAAATGGAAAATTTCATAATTTAGTAAAAAGTTTCATTGAATACTTTTTTGAACAGGACATTTGTTCAATGAAATAATTTGAAAAATTATCTAAAAAGTTTGACGAAAAGTCCTGAAAAAATTAAATTTTTGGTTGAAAAATTTTGAAATTTTTTACAAATGTTTCGTTAATTTTTGGGCAGAAAAACAGTATAATAAAAAGTTATGTGACGGTGTTTCGTAATGTAGGATATGTGTATGAATATTTTTAATTCAAAGTTATGAAATTAAAAAAATAAATACTTTGAATATTGTAAATATCATACATTTTTAAGTTTTAAAATTAAAAATTTAACAATTTAATATATTAAAATTAAAGATTTTATTGTGAAAAAACAAAAAAAAAAGACAGTTTGCAAATCAATGGCATCGAAATTTGTTTAGGCGTAGATGCAAAGTTACATAAATAGCTCGGTTCGTACTCCTTTCCCACTTCCCCCTAACTACATATTTCATTAAGCCGACGGCCACGGCACCACGCTTTGGGTTTATGCAGCCACCCTCTTAAGGAGTGTTTTGACGTATAAACCGTAACCAAATGGCCCATTTGAACTGCTCTTCTATAAGCGTCTATATTCTTTGGTGGCATCATAGCTTATGAGCCAAAGCCTTCTTACTCAATACTGTTTATGTTAAAAATATAAAATATTTTTATCAATATTTTTTTAATTTTATTTTCAATTTTGTTTTCAGGCAAGTTTCTTATATTTTGAGGCAGAACATTAAAACATTTTATTGCCCAATACCCTGGTCCATTTTGACACCTTTTCAAATGTCAATATGCTGGTATCATATTCTGTTTATGCCTAGTATCATAACTATGCTGATCTTCGTGATCAGCAATTTATTTTAAATATGTATCATGACATAACAAATATTTTTTATGCAAAAGAGGCATTACTGTTAATATCCCTTAAAAAAATAATTAAGATGTATTTTAATACACTATCAAATGCAGTTCAAATTGACCTTTCTAACAATATTTAATTTTCAGAGAAGTGATAAAAAATAAAAGATAAATGAACCAAGAATAAAAGTCAAAACTTTGTGTAGCTCCTCTGTAAAAACTGTGATTTTGGTTTGTGGCTGTTTTTTATTAAAGTAGCGAATTGTACTGATATTTAATAAATCTGTCATTTTTGATGATCTATGAGAAGTATTTATAAAATGTAAGATCATGTGACCATAAGTTACAAAAAATCTTTCAATATTTTGGAGTTTAGTATTTAATTAATGTTACTTTTATTATCTAACCACTTAACCATGAGTTACTCAGTAATAGTAACCTAAATTCATGAAAACTGGGATACAAATTCTGATTATCATAAGTCCATAATTCTTCGAAGTTGATAGTTTTAGCAATTTGCTGAATACTAGAGACAAAATACTCACCAAACTGATGCACCATTTGTCACTCAGATTGAATTACTGATACTGAACCTTAAATTGGGAATTTTTGTCATGTATTGTCAATTAGTGTTTTTGTGTTTTCCACACAAGTCTAGAGCTATTTTTGTTTTGATTTTATAAAAATAAAATCATTTTTCTGCTTTTAACATATAAACTACCATATTTTTTGACTGTTTAAAACCATCCCATTTGGCATTTCTATCACTTCTGTTAGCAGTTTTAAACTCTTTGTATAATTTGCCCCAATTTTAATTTTACTATTAACTTCATTATACACAAATTTCATTCGGATTATTATACACAAAATAAAATTTGCTGAACAGCAAATAGTTTTTATGTTGTCTATGATGCATTACACAGTGGTTGATTTTAAATAATGAAATTAGCAGTTACATTATTCGTCACTACCTCTGAGACAATAATTATATTACTGAATAAAACAAACGGTGCCACAATGTGTTTTACAAATAGTTTTTCTTTGCTTTAGAGGTTTAGATATACCACATGTAGATGTTGTTATCAACTTTGACATACCAACACACAGCAAGGACTATATTCACAGAGTGGGAAGGACTGCACGAGCTGGAAGATCTGGTAGGGCTGTGACTTTTGTTACACAGGTAAGATTATTTATGGTAATAGTGCTTATTAAAATATTTTTTATTCCTAATATTTTTAACATATATGACCTTACTTATTTCATTATTCCTATCTCTAAATTTCTCACATTAAAATATTTCACTTTTTTCGATAACTACTTGAATTAAATTATACATACTCTTACCATTTTGTGTGGAAAAATCATTAATTTTGCACCAAAATTACTTTTCAGCTTATTATTCCCTTGTCTTGCTCTTGTCTCATGTGCTCACTTTATCACATCCTCTCTAACATCCTTTCTCACTAGCTTTCACTTTCTTTCCCAGTTTTTATCTTTCTAATTTGTTCTCACTTTCGATTGTTCTTCTCACTTGCTCCCTTTTTTGTTATTTTTCTTTATCTCATCTTTTTTATTACCCTTTTTTACTGGCTCACTTATTGTTCCCTCTCTCTTGCTTTTTTTTGTTTTCCTTGTTCTTGTTTTCGCTTATACAGCTTATCGCTATTTCTCTTGATTGTTCTTTTTATTGCTAGTTCTCTTCATCACTAGTTCTCTCTCTCCCTTTATTTCCCTCTGGGGACATATAGTTAAGAAGTTTTAGGTTAGAGACCTAAAGGGTTGTACACTTAATGCTAAAATTTGGTTCAAAACCAAATCTAGAGTTTTTATTATTATTTCTAATGTGTAATTTTTAATTTCAGTACGATGTTGAGTTGTATCAGCGAATAGAGCAACTAATAGGCAAGCAACTACCATTATATAAAACCGAGGAAGATGAAGTTATGGTACTGCAAGAAAGAGTTGCTGAAGCGCAGAGAATTGCCAAAATGGTATGTATATGTTTCAAAATGATTTTAGCATACACAAAAACCATAAACAGAACAAGCCAAATATTGTTTGGCAGAGAGCGAGGTATATATGGTATTTCCATATATTTTCATGATCTTAACCCCCATTATTTACATTTGTCATTGATTTGGTTATTGGAAAAACTTTTGTACAATGGATATACCAATAGAAACTTTAAATGTTCTACATTTTGTCTTTTCTCTAAGAAACCATGTTCTCAAAGTTATTTTCTTAAAAATTCATCTTTATTCTCGACTTTTTCTTTCCTACTAGCTATAGCCAGCTCTTGATTCATCATTTCAAATTTTATATATGATCTGTCCCTAATAATTATGCAACCAATAACATACTGTAATCAACATTGATTCATAGTTTCATTCATAATTTCAAGTTTTATATGGGATATGATATTCTTTTTTGCAGTACAACCTGAAGCAAGTCATAATGCCTGTTTCTCATGAAATATCGTAAATATTTTTATCTTTCAAGTTCAAAGAGACATTGTTTTAACTTGTCTATAATACATTGATTCTTTTTCAGGAAATGAAAGATATAACTGACAAGAAGGGTGGCAAGAGGAAGAAGGGAGGCGATGATGATGACACAGAAGAAGCGACGGGCGTGAGGAAGAGATTAAAAGGTGGAAAAGGTGGTAAACAAAAGAAAACTGGAAGAAAGAAGTAAATTTAGTATATAGTGAATATTTATGTACATATATTTTTTAATAAAATGTTTGAAAAATGGACATATTTTGTTTTATTGAATGTACTATATCAGGATAAAGTTAAAATTATATAAATTTATAATTATATAAATTCCTGGACAAAATTAACGCACCACTTTAATTAATCTAAACATTTACAATATGACCACAAAATAAAACTAAGTTATATTGAAATAATAATCAACACTTACAAATCAGTCCAACATGACTTTGCCTTATCGCTGCTGATTGTCTTATCGTTTCTTTAGAAATTTGTTTTTGTCGGAAATGCGTATATAAGCTAGCATAACTCCAAATTGCAAAAAGAAGAAAATCAGTAAAGTAACACAATAAAATGCATCTGGGTCAACACTAATACCGTATACGCCCTCCTCTACTTTTTATGACTACATTTATGTGTTGATGCATGCTTGATATCAAATGTTCAACAAAATCTGGCGTAATATTCTCCCATTCTTCAATACCGGCTTCAGTGAGTTGGTTGTGATTGGCAATAGGGGGTCTATGACTTCGAATCTTTTTTTTTTAGATAGTCCCATAGATTCATGTCCGGACTGTTAGGTGGCCACTCTAATAATGAAATATCAACATCATTTAGGTAGCCAATAACCTGTCGAGCCACATGAGGACGAGCTTTGTCTTGCATGAATAAAAAATTAGGTCCAAGAAACGGAGCTAAAGGCATTACATGTTCGACAATAATTTTCAATTCAATAAGTAATAATGGGCATTCATAGACCTCGTACGTATGAGGACCAACTCCTTACAAGCTTCAAAACAAATTTCCCCCAAAACATTTTAGAGCCACCACCAAAAGGTACTGTAGGAGAGATATTGCAGCTGGCAAAACCTTCTCCTTGCCATCACCATAAGCTCACGAGCATGAATATCCTTCATCTAGGAGAGTCGATGCTCGCACTGCCTCGTCCATTGCCAAATTTCTTTGGCGGTTTATATTTTTTTATTTGATTTTTATGCAAATGAACTTTTAAACATGCATGTGATGAAAAATATCACAATAAAAAGCTTGTTTCTCACAAGCACTTTGCTTTAATCGGCACTTTTTATGAAAAGTTTAACTCACTTTTAGTCTAAAACGAAGTTTAATACAAATTATTGTTTAAACGAGAACTGTTACGATTTTAAACTGTTAGAATACAGGGAGAGAGTTCTAGATCCTTTGAGATAAAGGATGTACTCAGACAAGGAGATGCTCTGGCTTGCCTCCTATTTAATATTGCCTTAGAAAAGGCAGTCCGAGATACACTAATTAGGGATGGCGGTACTATTTACAATAGATCGATATGTCTTAGCATATGCTGATGACATTGACATAGTAGGGCGTAGCAAGCGAGATGTTGAGCAATATCTCCTAGAATTGGAAACAGCGGCGAAACAGGTCGGTCTAGTCATCAATGAAGACAAAACCAAGTACATGTTTGTTACAAAGGATCCGATAGCAAATGAGGAACGAGAAACAGTCTTTGGAAGTCATACCTTTGGACGTGTTGACAACTTCACATACCTTGGGTCGCTATTGACTGCTACCAATAAAACAAGCGAAGAAATCAAAAGACGAATAAATCTTACAAATAGGGCATACTATGGACTCCAAAAGCATTTCCACTCAAGAAACATTCAAAGAAAAACTAAAATTATATACAAAACACTATAACTTGCTGCTGTCTAGCTGATATTATCAGAACAGATCTTGGTTCATTGTTATACTGAAAAGTTACTTATTTGGTGCATGTTATAGCGTTGTTAACTCGTAAATGACATAAAGTGGACTTGGTTCACTTCTATTCTAAACTCTCCATATATAACATGAGTTCTCTTAATTCATTGTCTATTCGGTGATCTCTATTCTTATGGATATTTATTTTTAAGTGGCCACAAGAATTATATTTTTCCTTAAATGAAACTATTCTTGCATCATTCATTAAGTGGGCTGCCTAAGTAAGCGAGTGATGCTGCAGGACTAAATCCGGATATTGTAAGGTTGGGTTAGTAATCTGCAAGGCATTAAATATAGCAAATTCCTAAACAGCAGGTAAACACCCTCGGATATAGACATCGTTTTTCTTCAGCATTTATGATTCAACAGAAAAATGTAACAACGCAGCCATGTTTACTCATTCTTGACTTATCTTGAAATGTTATAATATGCAATATGATAACTGTAAGTTTATTTCATTTCTAACATAAAACAGTCCAAAACTGAACCTTAAAAGCAATCGCAACGTGGAAATATGTGTAGTATTTTTATATTCAAAAATTTATCTATTGAAATATTTCTCATCAGATGCTAAAATGCCGAAAATTGTGGAAAAAAATACAAATTATTTTTACAATATCTATATTTGTATAATTAAAATAAAGTACAAAAGAAGTACATACAACTTTTTTATTATGTGTATATTGAAAACTTTAAATACATAATAAAGATATATATAAAACACAAACTAAAAATACTAAATATCTTTGGTATTGTAGACTTCAAAAGAATATGGTATCAAGGTAATAGAAAAGTATGATACCCAGGATACATATTGTGAACAAAATATATACTGGGGTAATTAACCATTTAGGATCTGATAATATTACCAAATACCAAATAAACAAAATGCTAAAAAGACCAATCATTGTATGAGTCGAGGTAATGAAGTACTTCACTATCGATTTTCCGTAAAGTGATATGAATTTGAATGCGGTTTTGGGCATTCAATTCATAATAATCTGTGCAAACTTTGTGACCATATATAATCAGAAAGCAATGAAAAAACTATTTTTGGATTAGAAAGATAAATTTTAAAAATGTATTTTTATTATTTGTGCATTTAAACGTGCATTTAAAAGTATTCAAAGTTAAAAAAATATAACTTAATGAATATTGATAAAAATAAGTCCAATTTTGTTATTCGGTAGGTTTCTGAGGTCGCTGAACACGAATATTATACTGGCAAAAACTCCGAAGTAGACGGAGTACACAAGGTACTTCGGTAAGGATATTACTCATTACTTGGGGATTTTCGAGGTCACTGAACATGATTATGGCATCGGCAAGAGTCTTCGTCCATTATAATATTTTTTATTACATAAATAAAATTTGTGGTGAATTGTGTGGGTCGCTATGGACTCAGGGAGAGGAATGAACGTGGCGATAGGCTAGGCTGGTTGACTTCTGTATCAATTAGGAATTCATAATTGCAAATGCCTTTTTCAAACTTCTTAAACATCGACTATACACATGGAGGTCACCAGTTGGCAATAACAACGAAATAGTCAAAAATCAAATAGATTAAATTATCGTCAACAGAAGATATAGAAATTCCATAATATCATCCAAAACTTATCCAGGAGCGGACATATCCTTCGATCACAACCCGGTTGTTTTGTTGATAAGAGTGAAACTAAAGAATGTAAAGAATCTAGCTCCAAGAAAATCATGGATACAAGAATAAATACAAAACATGAATACCATAAAGAAAATTCGAGAGGCAAAAGACAGGTGGTTCTCCGACAGATGCAAGGAAATAGAAGATCTCGTTAAAAAGTATGACAGCTCTAATTTACACAAAAATTCAAAGAAATGACTGATGGGAAGGATTGAAGGGAGTATTATTACTGATGTGAAGGAGATATTGTGCCACTGGACCAATTACATCCAAAAACTATGTAATGATGAATGACAAGAACTGTCATTAGAAAACACAGAGCATACCGAACTACTAATATTACGAGAAAAAGTCATTTATTCATTTATTTTATTTATTTATTATTTATTTATTCAAAAATACAAAAGATGGCGAAGCTACTTTACTAGATAATGTGCCCATCGAATTATTAAAACTTATTGATGAAGATGTTATTGATATAATGGTTGAACTCTTTAATCCAATATATCAGACATGAATCAGGCCATGTACTTATGATTTTTAGACTTTGAAAAGGCATTTGATAAGATCCAACATAAAAAGCTTGTCGATAGAGATAAGAATGTTATGATGTGAGATCATAACATGCCAAACCCAACTTGCAGATCCAAGTTCCAGATCCAGAAGGAAAGATCCAAACTCAGATAACAGGAACAAGTGAAACATTATTATCGAACTAATAATGGTGATGAACGGACTAATCAGTGCCATCTGTGGTCAAGATCCTAGAAATATTTAAAAAGCCTGATCAACAAAGCCAATTGATGTTTAAAATGTGTAATTTGCAATAAGAAATATAAAAACTAAGACATAAGGTATAATAGGTTGCAAACTTTAACAAAATGGAAATACAAAGACGAAAGATCTTAAACAAGGGTATTAAGATGAAAATAAAAATACAACCTACTGTAGAGCAGAGAGTTACTCGCATTGTACATTTGTCGTGTTTCGAACACGTTCCTACCCTTTCTTTTACGCAGTCAGGTAAAATCTCAGACTTGTTTCTACATTTACAAGGTCCAAAATTAACGAAAAACATAATTGAACATAAAAATATATTAGCTGATATGAAACTTAAACCACAGACAAATTCAACCCATCTCATTGGAAGTTCGAAAAACCTCCCAAGACAAATTGTAGATGCGCTACTGTATTAAACTGTATAATTTGTGACTATTTTCAAGAAAAAAAAGTCGAGCAATTTATTGCATATACTTATTAATCAGTTACTTATATTATACTTACTTGGATTTCTTTACGTTGATACCATATTCGTAGGATTAATTAAAGTACTTTGGTAACTAAAATGCAAGTACTCTGCTTTGAAATGTGAGCAAAATGGTACAATTATTTTTTCGAAGGTGATGTAGATAAAATGCGGCAAGATCTCTTAGTATACTTTAAGTATCGTTAAGTATGAGGGAAATACAAGCAGCAATTAAAAACTGAATTGTTATACAACACGCTGCTTTAAAAACACATCAAATATGTTAAAGGAACAAGTTTTCGTTTATAAAAGAGTTGGTAAAAATTAAATCCCATACCTAAGTCCAATTCTAGAAAATTTTGAAATATCTTTGACATTTGTCTTGTTATGTGGATGTACTTGCGGTCCTATATTATCTCGGAAATTCTACCTGGCGTTCTATTATTAGTTTAATCGCGATATTTTCCTGGAATTTCGCGCTAAAAGTGCTAACTCGACGTTCATAACTTCGCTGGCAATATCTAGATCAACTGTTCGTGCACAATCAATATGACTTCAAAAAATGAAGATGTGTTGGTGTATCAATGATGTTCCGTCCTCTGTTTATGTCATTTCACTGTCCCTGTAGGGGGTATAATATTTGGTGTGGAATTTCCAGTTTTCCTCAAGACCTAACCTATCTGGTTACATTGTTAAAGTCAAAAGCAACATATTGGATAATACCAAAAGTGCTTGTAACATTCAAAGTTTAAAACTGAACAGAATGAGTAACTTGAGAAGGTGAAACCCTTTTTAGGATTACAGTGTCTGGTTTATGAGTCAAATTAGTATCAAATATAATATTTCGTTAGTTTCCAAATGCGTATAACATCAATTAACAATTAATTCGTACTGTAAAAGTGAACACAGCTTTGGTTGTCCTTTTAAATGTCAAGTAAACCTGTTAGAACTCTGTAGACACCTCGTTTTTACAAACTTCTAACGAATCTATAAAAACTTCGTCATCTTGATCATAATCCACGTGTTTATCAGTCTCCAATTGGAAGTGTGGAAGCGACCTAGGTTCTGCATAGATTTCGTTATCTATTAAAAAGTCTGTAGTATTTTCAGGTATCTGTGGGCAGTTGTTATTGATTTTGTCATTGTTCTCATTGTCTTTAAAGTTGGAGCTGTACTTTTTATCAATGTACTTGTAATATTTAGGTATATAAATAGAATTTTCTATATTGTCATTTTCTTCCTCTCGCGGGGGCAAAGGTGGACTACCTACATCCTCTTTTATAGATGAAGGTTGATCAATTAACTTCTTGTCGATAAATTTGTAGTATTTGGGTATATATACGGGTTTCTCTATCCCAGATTGTAGATGGAACGCCGCAATTTTGTTTATATCAGCTTCTAAGGAATCTGGTGTATAACTGTTGAGTTGGGAGAGACTTCCTGAATTGTTTCTAAAACAAACATAAAAGTATATTACAAACATTTAAAAAATAGGCAATATGCTTTTAGTTAAAACAATATACAAATAAGACAATATCCCAAATTATCAAGGACACATATTTTCTCCTGGTAAGCATTAAGGATATACATAAAGTGAAGTCGTTTTACCCTTTGGTATTTCGGATTAACGCCCGAAAAATAATTTATGACTCTAGTTACAGCCACTCTGTTATGCTTTCCCTTTACTACCTGCTTTGTGGTACCGAACCTCCTACTGGTCGTCTGTAGTACTTGAGGATAAATCAGCGCTACCAAAACAATTTTTTTATAAATCGTGAAAAAAACGCAAATTGAATGCTTTGTGATGATAATTTATTGAAAAAACTTTTATAATTTTATTTCAAATAAAATTGTCTCGAGGAGTGCATCCACTCCTTGCGGTCGCATAACTGGATAAGTTTAGTTGTTATATTTGCAAAAATAGTAAACAGTCTGCGGAGTCGAGGCTCTCCATTGACCGGACTCATCGGCCAATGACCGACGCACCCTGAACCGAAGAGCAATAAATAACCTGATAGGACTAGAATAACCAAAACTTTTCAATATGACGCTGAATTACGTTACAAAGGTAGCCCAAGCTGTATAGAAAAAAGTGCATTGATTAGTGAATTTTTGAAACAACACAGCGTTTTGAAGAGCAATGCATGAAGTAACCTTTAAGTGTTCGCAACTCCAAATTGTTGGTTTTTATGGTACTTTTAAGGTGCAAAAACGGTGGTTTTTGATTATTTTTATTGTATTAAATCAATATGTTAGGCTGAAATAAGCAGAATATTGAATGAACGTACATAAAAAGCTTTAATTTTAGCTACTGTACAGTGACAAAGTGAAGGTCGTTTATCAGGAGTTAGAATGCAGAAAAACACCGGGTGGGAATGACTTAAAGATCAAGTACTTTAATGAGGTACCCAATATCATTGTCAGTAAATTCAATAATTCAAAAAACGATCATTGAACTTATATTGTCAGAATGTTGGTGGTAGGTGCACCAAACTGCAGAATTTCAGACATGCTGAGAGTCTCTCTAGTTATGATGTTATTATTATTATTGAAACATGGCTTACATCTAGAATCTTAGATGCTGAATTGGGGATTGAGTGATTTTAATGTGTATAGATATGACAGGGATACTCAAACTCGTGACCACCACCACCAGGGAGATGAAGGCAACACCACCATCTCGAGTTCAAAGACTCGTGGTGGTGGTGTTCTTATTGCTGTTCATAAGCGGCTTCATTCAATGATGGTTAGGCCTATCGATTCCTCTGTGGAACATGTTTTTACACAGGTAATGTGTGGCAAACAAAAGTTAGTCATTGGTGCTGTGTACTTTCCTCCACGGGCATTTGGGTCAGTATATGAGGAGCATTACACCTTTATGTTGGACTTAGCGGATAGATTCAGTGAATCTGTATTTGTGGAGACTACAACCTACTCGAGGAATCCTGGGATAATCTTAAATCTTTCGTAGTAGAAGATCGTGTACAGATGCAATATTCGTTATAAAGTAAATTACTGAGAAATCACTGGAGTACAATAGACCAGCATTTCTGTGTCTGATTGACTTAAAGAAAGCGTTTGACAGAGTAAAACACAAAGAAGTAATCCATCTTCTGTATAATAGAGAAGTTCATATAAATATTATAAAAACTATTGAAAGCATCTACCAAAACAACAAAATGGAAGTCAGAATATATGGACAACTTACAGAACCTATAGAAATAGGCAGCGGAATAAGACTCATTCTGCAACATTTCGTAAAATGATTTTATTAGCTCACAGCATATTATCTATGCCTATGTCTGAAGTGCCTTAGTATATACCCAAATGGTTTGTCCTAACTGACTAAAAAGCTATGTTCACTAATATAAATTGTCCTATCTCACATATACTAAGAAACATTGTCCGTTTTAACTTTAAAAATGCAGTTAGGACTATTTAAGCTAGTATTTTATACTGAGCGGCATCAGTTTGGACAATTTTGCGTAGTATGATATAAGCATGTTTGTAACATAACTTCAAATAATTAATTATAAAAGATATTTTTTATTGTTAGACATTGGAAGTATTCTCATGGTTTTCGTATTTCAAGTAAATATAAGAGCAAAAGAATTTAATATGACAATCTAATCTCAGAAAACTAAAACAATAGTAGTCAGCAAAGAACCAACCAGATGTAAAATAGAAATTGATGGCATCAGTATTGAACAAGTAATGGAAATAAAATACCTTGGAATTACACTGTTCAGCTATGAAGACCTGGACAAAGAAGTAAGAGATCCAGTTCAAAAAGCAAATAGACTGGCAGGATGCCCTAATAATACTAGATGGTGAAACAGACATATTTACACTGAGATGAAGTCAAGAATTTATAAAGCCAGTATAAGACCAATAATGACATATGCCTCAGAAACAAGACCCGATACAGTCACAAAACAAAGGCTACTGGAAACGGCAGAGATGAGAATACTGAGAATAATTACAGGAAAACGCTGAGAGATCGAAAGAGAAGTGAAGACATTAGAAGACAATGTAACGTACAGTGTATAAATGAATGTACACAAGATAGAAAAAAGACTGGAATAACCACATAAGTAGAATGGAGGAGACCCGTGTCGTCAAAATTGCAAGAGATAAGTCACCAATGGACAGAAGAAATATCGGACAACTGCGCAAAAGATGGAGTAACAATCTTCCATAGAGGTATTAATTCACCAATGAACAAGCAGAATTGCTTATCAATTTCAATATAAAAAAACATATTAAGTGAAGGATACAGTAGTTTACGTAACGTATCTAGGTGTTGAAAAATAAAATTAACTACAAAAGTGATTTATTGAAGGAAGACATCGCATTGAATCTATACAATCGTTAGTTTTGATGCTGATATTTGTACTTACGTTTTTTCTGTTATAATGACTCCAGATGGTTTCAAGACATGACCGAAGAATCTGGTAGAGCCTATAACATTCACGGATTCATCTTCTTTTTTCGGTACTAGCGTCAGTGACTTGTGAGGCCGAGGAATATCATAATCTGGTTCTGAAAACCGTCTTTGTTTTTTTGGTAACAATTTTAATAGCTGAAAAAGATGAAAAATGTCCTCAATAATATAATTTGTAACAATTCAAAAATATTAGATTCTTGATCATACGTAAAAATATTAAAATCAAAATATGTAGGTTGGACATTTTCGAACGTAGTTTTGAGATTCGAATCTGTTTGTAAATGCCCCTTTGTCCGCTCTCGTCGATCGACGATGATAGGTATAATGAAAGGTTGAAGTTGTGGAATAAAAGTGTTTATTTATTGACAGATACTGGTAATTACACAATATGATGTTCGTTAGGTAACTACTTATGATAGACTGTGCTCATATGAGCTCATATCCCCAATTTATAATCTCAAAAATAATTCATACCTAGGCACAGAGGTTATTGCTTCGTTCATACCATATACCAACAAACTTTGAACTATTTGATTACATTGCAATTTAATCTACGCCTTAATTGCGACACTTAGGAAGTTCAATTAGAAAATATATTATTCGGCAATTTATTTAGTTTTAGATAAATGAACTAATTATTAAAATATTATACGATATGGTTTTACAATGTCACTTATACAGGTGAAACTATAAAAGATTAAGAAGTTAAGAATATTGTGATATTACAAATTAAGGGGTTAATTTGTGATTGAACATAGTCAGTAATCTGATCTGATTTGTTTTGTTCAGTAGAGATAGTTTGGTAAACGGGATAATGACACATGGAGAAACTAAGGATCCCAGAAGCAAACTCGAAACTGTACCGCCTGAAATGATTTGGGATTGTCAGCAGAAGTGAACCAATAAAGGACTTCAATAAATGCGAGATAGACAGACAGATCTAAGTTACCTACGGGAAACTAAGTTAAAAAAGATAATAAAGGTATGAATGGTCTTAACTGTAAAGTAAATATACATATGGCGAAAATATTAACGATTTGAGAAAAAAGATCCAATTCTGCCAAGAGACGGATATGGTTGTAACGAATACACTTTTTAAATTACACCCAAGAAGGCTTTATACATGAAATGACCCGGTGATACCCCAGGGAAAATCATACGAAACTAAATTGATTTTATCAACTTAAACAAAAGGTTTAGAAATTCTATTACCTCAACAAAAACATATTCAGGCGCAGGTATCTTCTCAGATCGTAGTCTAATGGTTGCAAATATCAACATATGACTCAAAATAATTCATAAGAAAATGAGGCCCACTATTAAATATAAGACTACTAAAAGAAAATGACATCCAGAAAAAAGTAAAAACAGAGATTAATAAGAATTTTGCGAAAATAGTTGAAGACACTACTAGAGGCATAGAAGAACAGTGGAACGAAATAAAGACATCTGTTATCACAATTTCGCATGAATATCTAAAATTAAAAGAGAGAAGAAGAAGAATGGATGACGATAAAATATTGCAGATAATGAAAGAGCGAAGAAACTTAAAAGGTAGAAACGACAACGAATACAAAAAGTTGCACAAGACTATACTAAAGAAAATAAAAGGAGCAAAAGAAGCATGACTGACAATAAAATGTACGGAAATTGAAACACTACAACGCAAACATGACGATTTCCATCTGCACAAAAAAATTAAAGAGGTACAGAACACCAGAAAACAACGCAATACAGGCATAATTGTAGACATTGAAGGCCAGATTTTGACTACCATTGAAGATAAATTACAAAGATGGAAAGAATATATGCAAGGATTATCCGAAGATGCAGCACGAAGTCTGACTCAAATAAACAATCCCTATATATATATATATATATATATATATATATATATATATATATATATATATATATATATATATATATATATATATATATATATTTATATGTTTATATATATTTATTGTTATGATATGTAAAATCAAGAAAATCTCGGTTTGTTTAAAAATATTTCAAAGTTCAAATAATTAAAATAATTCAGATAAGTCTAATTAATAAACGACAAACATTTCGAAGAATGAAAGTCTTTTAATTTTGGATTACCTGTATTTAACAAAACGTAAGATATGCATAAATTATTTTCTTTGTTAAAATATATTTGTATGACGTGAATAAGCTTAAGTGAAATAAAAGACAATTGAACCGGGTTTTCCAAATACATTAGTGCAGTGATTAGGACAATAGAATAGATTTTAGAAAGATAGGTTTTTGTTAGTTTTTAAGAATTGTAGAAAAATATTATTTGTAAATAAGTTTTAGGAAATTTTATAATTATAGGTAAAATTTTGTTTGTTATCGAAATAAAGAAATGGGAGATGGATGACTCGTTTTGATTGGATGAAATTGAAAAAGGTGGGATGATTGGTTGGAGAATGAGACGTTAGTTAGTTTCGGAAGAAAGAAAAGATAGCCAGTTGGTTTCCAAGGGTAGAAGGCGAACGGCCGTTGTTCTCGGGTAGTTTTCCAGAGGTAGGAAGCAGTAGCAGTGAAAGTTTGTGAGTTTTCGTCTAGTTAGTGTATCTGACAGAAGCTGATCCAGTAAAAGATTTTAAGTTATATTTTCTACTTATATTCCAAGAGTCACTGTTCAGGCCAACGAGAGATTCAGTTTATCGTAAAGAAAAGATATTCCAAGAGTCATTTTTCACTCAGGCCAACGAGAGATTCAGTTTATTGAGAGAAGAAGAAGCTAGCATAATTTGAACGATTCGTGCATTTGAAGGAGATCATTAAGGACGATAAACTTGCAATAATTTGTTGTAAGATTGCTGATTACCTAGGGAGCGGCTGAGAGTAGATAATATAGTCTACAAGGAACAAGGATTTGGACCACTCATCATCAGAGAGAGATAGTTTTGTTTTCTGCAGTTTTTCTTTTATTGATAACACAATTTTTACAGTTAATTTAGAAATGATATAAATATTTTGATTAGGAGATTTAGAATAATATTTGAGATTTTGAGATTTCAACTAATATTGTTTGTACCATTAATTTTGAAGGTTCACATACGTAGAACAAAATTTTGAGAATCATTATATGAGATTTTGTTTATTGAAAATTTTTGAGTGTGAATTTTATTTCATTATTTTATTTCAATATATAATGTAAGATCCTGTATGTTTTTTATTATTCCGGTATTCTTTGGACCTTACCTTTCACATGTAATAGCATAGATATTGAAGCACGAATTTAACCCTGAGATAAGAGAATTAAAAAGTGTGATAGAGTCAGAATCATATCATTTAAATAATTTTAATTAATTAGCTAATTAATTGCTTGGCACACCAAGACTTTGAATATCACAATAATACATATATATATATATATATATATATATATATATATATATATATATATATATATATATATATGTATATACATCAATCGGTTTTAAAACGTCTTGTGACGTTGTCCAATGCCTAATTTCCATGACACTCGATCATCCCATTGGTCCCCTCTAAGGTCTCTTTCGCTCATCGCCTTCGTTACTCCCTCTCTCCAAGATTTCGTGGGCCTTCCTCTCTTTCTGCGGTTTGGTGGTACCCATTGCATAATTATTTTTGGGAGTCTTGAGTTATCCATCCTCTGGACGTGCCTATGGACTCCGTACCATATCAGCTGTTTTCTTTCTATGTCTGTTGTTAGAGAGCCGCCAGTTTTCTTCTGTTGTTTTCGGTTATTCGCCAAGTTTCCGCTCCGTACAATAGACTGCTTTTAATAAGAGATTCGTAGATATTGTGTTTTCTTCTTTTTCCTATTTCATGACTCCACAGTACGCTGTTTAGACAACCTATTGTTTTTCTAGATTGTGTTATTCTTCTCTTTATTTCTTCATCATATTTCCCCGTTGGGTCAAAAACGATTCCTAGGTATGTGTAAGGGTCGCAGGGCATGATGATTTCGTTATTTTCTAATGTGATGTTCGATAGTTCGGTACCTATTGGCAGGTATTTTGTTTTTTTCTGTATTCATTTCTAGTCTCCACTTTCTATATTCTTCTTGTAATTTCCTTGCCATGTACTCCAGATCATCTTTATCGTTTGATATAACAACTTTGCACATCTTATGACCAGATAAATAATTCCTACCTCCCAAAAATAACAAACAAAGAAGTAACTATGGCCATTAAAGCGAAATAGTGAAAAGAAGTGAATACAAAATGTAAAGAAAAGAAGAAAGCCTTTTTACAATACAGCATACAACAAATACAACATACATATAACCACTATAATAATATAATACTTTAGTTAGACAAATAAAAAGAAAATATTGGCAGAGCTTCTTAAAACAGATGGAACATGACTTCTACGAAACACAAAAAAAAATGTGGAGAATGATCAGAGGACAAAAGAAAACAGATGAACAAACTAATGAAAACGGAACACAAGACTACTTTCTATCCCTATTTGCTAAAGGTGACGATAATGAACCACCAACACCAGAGGTGACGACAAACGAAGAAATAAATATTGAGGAGAAAGAGGCAAAGGAAGTATTAAGGAAATTAAAAACAGAAAATCGCCAGAAGAGGACAGAATACCGAATGAACTCTTAAAGTACGGAGAACCAGATCTACTATTAAAACTAATCCAAAAAATAATAGAAGAAAACAGAATTCCTCCTGAATGAAAATAAAGCATCCTAATACCTCTCTTGAAGAAGGGAGACAAATCGGATCTGAAAAATTACAGAGGAATTAATTTATTAAATTCAACACTAAAATGAACAACCCAACTGATAACAAATAAACTGAATGAAATTATAACACTAGCCGACAATGGGATAAACAGGGAAATTCTCTGAGTTCCCTATTGTTCAACCTGATTATGGATGAAATAATAAAAAAAAGCAGGAAACTGAAGTAGAAGATCAACTGAATAGAGCAAACAGAGCCGCAGGTTGCCTGAATGCAACAATATGGAGAAATAAGAATAAGTGGTCTAAAAAGAAGACCACGAAAACGATGGAATGACAACTTACTGGTGGCACATTGAAAAACAGACAGAGTCATGTCTACATAAAAAGAAGAAGAAGAAGAAGAACGCATACTGCGTTAGTACAAATTGCTTGAAGTTCTGTAGATTATGCATGGGATGAAAAAAGAAAATGGATTAGGAAGTATAAAAACATTCCAGACACTATTTTTTGAAATAAGTACTTGTTACGAAGCATGTTGCAGAATAATTTGAACGAGCTTTCCGAGAATAGCTGAACGAATAATAAGAGAATATCCATAATATACGTCATAAAGAAGAGGAAGGGGAGGGGGGATTTTGCTCATTACGATGGTATACATCTAATACATCTGATATACAGCTAATTAATTATTCTTGTTATGATACATTCGTAAATATAGTTTTATAGTTAATTTTAAAAAATCCAGCAATAATATCGATTTTTTTTAAAAATCATTGAAAAGGGGGATCATGGGTTGCAATTACGAGGTCGACATGGGGGAGGACCTTAACTGTAAACGACGCTATAAAACGAAGGGGTAGGAGGGTATTAAAAAATCCAATTTTTTTTCGACGTAATTTATAAATGTTCTCTAATGTGGTAGAGGTAATGCCTTGAAGAAAAATATTAATCAGTATATCTACAATGATGAACGGTAAATCAAAATTATAATTACAAGTTATATTACAATATAAACTTTTTATCTTGTTTCCTGTTTTTTATTAACACATATATTAGTTTGGGATATAGTCCTGTCCAAAAAATATTTGCAAAAAAGTTTACAACTCTTACCCCCGTGTTTCCCTCTAAAACCCCCTCGTGTAGGGGTAAAAACTCAAAAATTCGATTTACCAAGAACCTGCATACTGTAGAAAAAAATGTTTTCAATAAAAATGTAGCTGAGATGATTTTGAACAAAAATGTTTATTAGCACTTTTTCTGTAGAATGAACCGTTCTCTCAGAAACAACGGTTGAAGCGACCGGCGATTTGGAATGTCAGTTGCGCGCGCGAAATCAATGTTAAGTAAAATGTGTATCAGTAAAAGCAGTACTGTCGACAGTAAAAATTCGATATCTTTAGATCAGAGTGTCCATCTACAAAAATCAAAATGCTTAAAGGTAAAGAAAGTAGATTTCTTGTGCAATTTTTTTATTTTGCCGCATATGAAGCCAGTTTCTAAAAATCTGTTGAATAAATAAACGTTATGCATGTTTACCATTTTTTACAATTCCCTTGAGATCATTAAAATTTATTACTTTAATTGACCGGTCATAGTAAAATTTTGATTTTTAGAGACCAATCTTAAAACCTATATGAAATTTGAATTTGGAGTTGTTGCAACAAATATGAGCCATTTGAAATATGTCTAAAAAATACAGAATTTAAACTTTACATTATAAACAATCGCACGTCACGAGAAATACCTCTAAGAAGATGGTTTTGAGTGTAATTTATTGCAGAAGATGGGTTGTTTTAAAAAACTTTAAACTTTAGTTTAATAAAAAAAAACAGTTTTAAATGTTTTAGATCGTTTGTAATGTGAAAGTTAAATTCAGCGTTTTTTAAGTATATTCCAAATGCCTCACATTTGTTTCCAAAACTTCTTGATAAATTGGTATCGATAAATCTCACCTGGGCTTGCAGAAACATAATTATTGATGAACAACATGGTTTTTCTAATGGGAAATCAACTGCAACAAACCTTCTCAATTACCAACAATACTTTTTGGGTGCATTTGAGAATAAAATTCAGGTTGACAGCGTTTACACTGATTTCTCAAAGGCCTTTGACCAGGTTAATCATAATCTTTTGGTCCACAAACTTCATGCATCTGGCTTTGGTGACCCCATTGTTAATTGGATTAAAAGTTTTCTGATGGGACGTACACAGCAAGTTCGTATTAACAGTTATATTTCAAAAGAATTTCATTGTTATTCTGGTGTACCACAAGGGTCTCATTGTGGTCCCTTATTTTTTAACTTGTTAATTAACGATATTGGTAAGGCTATCAAAAACTCACACTTCCTGCTATTTGCTGATGATCTTAAGATATTTCGTTGTATACATAATAAATCGGATAGAGATCTCCTGCAAGATGATGTAAACAACATATGTTTATGGTCAAAACAAAATGGTTTAAGCTTAAATTCAACTAAATGTTCTTGTATTTCATTTGGTCGTATAAAACATCTAATGGCTAATAGATATATTCTTAATTATGTACTCTTGGATTCAGTTACTGAGATTAGAAATTTGGGTGTATTATTGGATTGTGCATTGACATTTAGAAGCCATTTTCTTAAAATTAAGGAAACAGGATTTCGTAATCTTGGTTTTATTTATCGCAACAGTCATGATCTCTCACCTATTGTATTTAAATTATTTTATTGCTCTCTGGTACGCTCAGGTCTTGAATACTGCTCTGTTGTCTGGTCCCTGTTTCATCAAGTATACATTGATGGATTGGAGAGCGTTCAGAGGAAGTTTCTAAGATCTTTAGCTTTTAAAGCCCATACTAATATAAAAAATACTGAAAATTATTTCATAGATTATTCTATAATAATGTCTCATTTTAACATTGATACATTGAAGAACCGCAGGTTGAGAGCTGATATGTTATTTTTGTTTAAAATTCTGAACAATGCTATTAATTGTCCCTCGTTACTGGCCAATGCACACTTAAACACAATGCATAGAACTCGACACACTGCACTCTTTCATATTCCTTTTCATAGGACTGATTATGCTCGTCATTTTCCCCTGTCAAGAATGCTCAGCTCTTGCAATGACCTCCTATTGAATCCTTTATTCTTCTTCTTTTTGTGCCACTCCTATCGGAGATTGGAAATCATCAAAGCTATTCTGACCTTGTTTACGGCTGACCTAAAGAGTTCATTAGTGGTGCAGCCAAACCACTCTCTCAAATTCCGCAACAATGACATTCTTCTACGGCCTGGATTCCGTTTTCCTTCTATTTTTCCCTGCATTATATTTTGAAGTAATGCGTATTTATGTCCTCTCATCAGGTGACCAAAATATTCGAGTTTTCTTCGCTTTAGCGTTAACAAAATCTCTGGGTCTTTTCCTATTCTTCGTATTAGGTACTTCACAGTTTGTTATTCTTTCAACCCAACTAATCTTCAGCATTCGACGGTAGCACCACATCTCGAAACTTTCAATATTTTTCATGTTGTTCTGTTTGAGAGTCCAGGCCTCTACACCGTATAATAGCGTGTTAAATACATAGCCTCTCAGCATTCTTAATCGTAGAGGGATGCTTATATTTCTGTTGCAGAAGAATTTTCTCATCTTTATGAAGGTGGCCCTGGCAATTTCGATACGTCTTTTTATTTCACTGTTTTGGTCTCCAGTTTCGTTTATTAGAGTTCCCAAGTAGTTGTAACTTGATACTTTTTCAACTTGAGTGCCGTTTATACTAATATACGCTGGTTGTGTCATGTTTTTACTGAAGACCATATACTTGGTTTTTTTAATATTGATATTTATACCATAATTGTTGCAAGCAATATTTATGTCTGTAAGTAATCTTTGTAATTCTTCTACTGTTCTTGCAACTAGTACAGTGTCGTCCGCGTATCGAATATTATTTACAATCTCTCCATTAATTACGATTCCTCCGTTTGCTTGTAAAAGGGTTTCCTGACAGATGCTTTCACTATATACATTAAATAACAGAGGTGATAAAATGCAACCCTGTCGTACTCCTCTACGTATTTCTATTGCTTGTGATGTTTCAGTTTCTATTTTGATGTTAGCTTTCTGATTCCAATATAGATTGAGAATTATTCGCAGATCTTTATTATCTATGCCCTTCCTTTCAAGAATCTCTCTAAGCTTATCATGGCGTACTCTGTCAAACGCTTTTTCAAAATCGATAAAACACGTATGTACCTCCTGATTATCCTTTCTGCATAAACATTAATGCTTTTAAAAGGCAACTTAAGAATCTGACTATTAATCTGGATATGTGATACTTACTATGTGATACTGATACTTTTTTAAAATTTTTGTGATATGATATATTGTTTTAATGTACAAATTTTAACTGTTTACTTGTTTCTTTGTTATTGTTTTGATGTTTATTGTACATGATCTTTACTTTTTACTATTTTTTGTATTTTATTGTAAATGGTTCTACCATTTACAATAAAATTGTATCTGGTTGGAATGAATAAATAAATAAATAAATAAACTTAAAACTAAAATTTCATGTTGTAGGTTTTAAAGATTAGGCTTTAGTTATGAAAACTCCAGAGTGGCCGGTTTATAAAAGGAATAAATTGTATTAATCCCATGGGAATTATAAAAATTGGCAAAAATCGCGCCACGTTTATTTATTTAACGCCTTTATAAAAACTCAGTTTATTTGCGGCAAAATACAAAAACTGCATACGAAAGCTGCACTCTTTACCTTTAAAATGCATCTTAATTTTAGTCGATAAGACACTTGGATCAAAAAATATCGAATTTTTACCGTCGAGCTGATATAAATTTTATTGAACATTGATTTTGCGTGCGTAACTGACATTAAAAATTGCCGATCGCTTTAAGCATTGTTTCTGAGAGAACGGTTCATTTTATATAAAAAATGATAATAAACATTTTTGTTTAATAATAAACATTATTATTATTATTATTAACATTATCTTAGCTACATTAACATTTTTTATTTGAATAATTTTTTTTATGACGTACTGATTCTTCGTAAATCGATTTTTTTCCATTTCCCCCCTCTAAGCGGGGGTTTTAGAAAAAATCTCGAAAGTAAAAGTGGTAAACTTTTTTGTATCCTTTTTGGGCGTCCTAAAATTGACATTCTCGGCCAAATTCAGCTTGTTCGTATGATTTTTAGAGGTTCAGTGACATTTTCGTCTCTGACGACTGGAATAATACTTTTTCCCGATTTTTTTTGCCGACTATAGTATTGTGATAGTAATTATACAAACCTCTTCATCTTTTAAGGTAGATCCATTAAGACTAGAAGTGACTCCAGGTATCAGCATGGGAGCATTAGTAACTTTCACTAACTCTTCTAACAACCTACTCAGTTCATCTGAATGTACGTCAGACCTTTGGATGCCACTCTTTTCGGTTCTCAAAACCACATCGTTGTCGTAAAATTCAGGTTCGCTAAATTTCTTAATCAGTTTTTTAACTTTGTTTTTCTTGTTTGTTTCCTGTTGTTCGTTGTCGAGTTCGTCCAAGATCTGGTCTAAACTTTTGACAGGTTCAGTGTTTCTTCTCTTTGGGGGCAATGCTACTGGTTTGTTATTGGTGGGGATGTCGTGGAAAGGCGACAGTGCCTCTTGTTTTTGAGACTTTGGTGGTAAGAGAGGGCAAGATGATTCTAAAATATAGGGTAATAATTAACAAATAATCGCTATAATTAGATAATGACTTACCTGTCACATTTTCTTCGTTACTTTGTAAAACATTTTCATGTGTTTCTGCTATAGTTGGAGATATACTTCCAGTGGGAGATCTTAATTTTTCCTGTAAAGACACAATTATTATTTGAGGATAAAACTTGGTAACGTTTAGAACACTATAAGTAATGTAAAAAAAAAGAATAAATTACGGAACACTAGAAATAGAAGTATCTCTGCCAGCAATGAGCTCAAGAGACCTAGAGATAAAAGAAGTGGTACAGTAGGCGGTACTGTAGGCTAGTGTAGTATAGTTTATTTTACAGATTTTTATATATGGTAATAAAGCTGAAAAACTTTCCTGTTTCATGGCGATATTTACGTGACGCTCGCCTGAGTATTTTACTATAGAAAAAGTAATATAACATCAATATAGAAGCTTCACTTCAAAATGTACCATATATTATATAATAACAAACATAACAACAATCTCCACAGATGTTCTAGATGAAAAATGATTAACCTCAGCCAACACTTGTATAAGAACCACTAGAAAACGTAACGAGTAGGAAACAAATTTATTATTTATTATGAATTGAAAAAGACAGCAAATATTTGATTTCACGCAAACAATCCCTATGTATCTGTTGATACGTATTTCGACCTAATAGGTCTCATGCCTTCTGCCTTTTAAGAAGCAACAATAAAATGGCTTCAATACGGACGCGATAGCGACATCTAATTACAAAATCCGTAAAATAGTTTCGAAACACAATTCAGATTTCTGCTTATAATCTGAGCCTTCTAAAAATTGCAAGACAAACAGACGTGGATAAAAGATGTTAAAAGGAACATGGGGAATCTAAAATTTGCATTCCACGACATGTCTTTTACAACTAAGCAGAAATCCTTAGCGAATTGTGCTTCTAGTACTCACACAGAGTAGATCCGAAATAAAATGAAAAAGACAGCAAATATTTGATTTCACGCAAACAATCCCTATGTATCTGTTGATACGTATTTCGACCTAATAGGTCTCATCAGAACAGCTATTCATAGGAGTTCTCAACATGAAAAATCAATATTTTCTGCCTTTTAAGAAGCAACAATAAAATGGCTTCAATACGGACGCGATAGCGACATCTAATTACAAACGTGAAAAATCAATATTTTTTGCCTTTTAAGAAGTAACAATAAAATGGCTTCAATACGGACGCGATAGCGACATCTAATTACAAAATCCGTAAAATAGTTTCGAAACACAATTCAGATTTCTGCTTATAATCTGAGTCTTCTAAAAATTGCAAGGCAAGATAAAAGATGTTAAAAGTTCTTCACCTTGAGAACTCCTATGAATAGATGTTCTGATGAGACCTATTAGGTCGAAATACGTATCAACAGATACATAGGGATTGTTTGCGTGAAATCAAATATTTGCTGTCTTTTTCATTTTATTTCGGATCTACTCTGTGTGAGTACTAGAAGCACAATTCGCTAAGGATTTCTGCTTAGTTGTAAAAGACATGTCGTGGAATGCAAATTTTAGATTCCCCATGTTCCTTTTAACATCTTTTATCCACGTCTGTTTGTCTTGCAATTTTTAGAAGGCTCAGATTATAAGCAGAAATCTGAATTGTGTTTCGAAACTATTTTACGGATTTTGTTATTATTTATGGAAAACCTTAATGCAAGTTCTGGAAGAAAGAAAGTAATACAATAATAGGCCCATATGGAGAAATGTTTTAGTGCTATAGGAATGGAAAGAGACTGCTTGGACGTGTGATCAGTATTCGTTAAGAATATTTAATGTCTTTATGTCTAAAGAAACCATGTAATTCATAAATATACATATACAAAGCCAGTTATCAACTAAAAATCCATAATAGACGATGTAATTGTTAGACAAGAATCAATGATCAAGGCCGAAGATACGAAAGTATAAAGAGGAGCCACCTCTGGATCAGACCACCATCTGATGAAATCAAGAATATACATAATAAATAAAGATCACAACAGTCTAATAAAAATAAAATGTAATGAGGTTCTTCTTCTTCTTCTTTTTATATATACATGACTGAGATGATTGTATAGAATCACTCGCCAATCCGCTCGGCAAGCGTGGCGTTTTAAATATGCTAAAACCTCCCAAGTTGAAGATGTCGAGTATCAATACGAAATTACCCCAGGTGAGTAGAGCTATACACTCAGAATTGACTGAGCAATCAGTCAGCCTCATGGATTCTGGAGGAGGCAAATATTCGACTGAATCTAGTAAGAAAAACTACCCATCATTGCTTCGTATAGCCACTTACAATATAAGAACTATGAGGACCCAAGAACACCTTGACGAACTAGAACAAGAGCTCTCAAATATCAAATGGAATATTGCGTAATTGCGGAATTGGACTGTGCGAAACTCGCTTACCAGGAGAAGCATGTACCATCTTAAAATCTGGTTATACCAGCTACCCAGTTATACCAGTTACAATAGCTATACCAGAAAAACTCCGTAGAAAATCATCACATAGGTGGTGTAGCGTTCCTGATAAACAATCGAGCTCCTTATAAAGTAACGAAGTTCTGTGAAGTATCAAACAGAGTCGTATATATTGTCATCGCTTTGATAGCAGATACAGCTTACAGATAATACATGGATATGCATCGACAGGAAACTCAACAGACGAGGAAGCTGAATCATTTTACGAGGATCTGACAACAGCAAAGAAGTAAGAAAAATCACACTTCGTAATAATCACATGAGATTTTAATGCAAAAATTGGTACAAAAGAAGACGGCGATATACAATATATCGGTCGCTTTGGGCTGGACAACAGGAACGAAAGGGGTGGGATGTTGTACAACTACTTAAACAACGAAAATTTCTTTTGTCTCAATGTTTTCTTTAAAAAATCTAAACAATGTAAATGGACATAGATCAGCCCAGACAAGAAAACTAAGAACGAAATAGACTACAAACTTATTAAACGAGAACGATACCCTACCACCGATGTCCTGATTCAAAAACAAACGGAATACCAAAAAGAACTAAGCACAAGATTAAAATCAATAGATACACTAAAACAAATGGATATAAACGGACTAGCCAATAAAATAAAAGTAACTGTAACAACATTGGTTAATAAAATATGCACAGCCAAAACATCTAAACTCCAACCTAAAACAATTAAACTACTCAAAGAGAGACGAAACAGAACAGATCGAACGTCGGACAGCTTCAGAAGTTTAAACAAAAACGCGAAGAAAGAAATTAGGAACGATCATAAAAACTAGAAAAACAATCTAATAAAAAAAAATGAGAAAACATCACCGTCCGAGACAGAAAGGAAATAAGCGAGGCAATTAAAAAATTCTACACTAAATTATACTCGGTAAATACACAACCACAACAACGACACACTGAACGAACAATAATTAACACCGACTCTGAAGAAATACCGGACATAATCGACTTCTTCTTAACGTGCCCTATCAAGTCCCCTTGACGTTGGCGATTAACATGGCGAAACTGTCTTTGTCTCGAGCTATTCTAAATAGTTGCTCAGCTTTCTTTATTCCTGTCCACTCCCTGATATTCTTCAACCAAGAGGCCTGTTTTCTACCAATTCCTCTGCGTCCTTCGATTTTCCTCATCATAATAAGTTGAAGAATATTATATCGGTCTCCCCTTACTACGTGTCCAAAATAGGCCATCTTTCTACATTTGATGTTATCAAGCAGCTCGCGAGCAGCATTTGTTCTTTCAAGGACTGCCACATTTGTCAGCATAGCCGTCCATGGAATTTTTAGTATACGTCTGTGCAGCCACATCTCAAAGGCCTCCAGACGATTAATCGTGGATATTTTTAATATCCATGCTTCGACACCGTATAAGAGGACTGACCAAATGTAGCATTTAACCATGCGCTTTCGAAGTTGAAGTTGCAAGTTATCATTACAGAAGAATGACCTCATTTTTAAAAATGTCGTGCGGGCTATCTCGATTCTACATTTTATCTCTTGATCTGGATCTAGTTGTTCAGTAATACGGCAACCAAGATATTTAAAACTGGACACTCTTTGAATTATATGACCATCAACATATAATCGTGCATCTTGATGTGCTAAACGGCTAAACACCATGTGTTTTGTTTTTGAACAGTTTATGTTTAGGCCAAACTCTCTTCCCACTTTATCAATGGCATTTAAAAGGCATTGTAATCCTATCATGTCATCACTTAAAATAACTGTATCGTCTGCATATCTGATTGTATTTATCAGAATTCCATTAACTTTCACGCCCCATTCCAAATTATGCAGCGCTTCTTTAAATATTCTATCTGAATATAAATAATCGACTATGAAATAATCGACAATAAAATAAGAATGGCCCTAAATCAACTAAAAACGAATAAATGTCCGGAAGAGGATAAAATTACGGTTGAAATATTCAAAATTAGTTGCAGAAAAATGGAACAGGTATTAAATATTTTATTTAACAAAGTAATTGATGAAGGAAAGATTCCTCAAGAATGGTACAACTTAAAGGTTATTTTACCATTCAAGAAAGGAGACAAAGCAACATTGAGAATTACCGACCAATATCCTTGATATCACATCTGTATAAATTACTAACTAAAATCATAACCAACCGCCTAACACATAAGCTCGATTTCTATCAACCTATATATAGACCACTTGCACACCGTAAGAACACTAATAGAAAAATGCACCGAGTGTAATGTTCAAATTCATATGGTTTTCGTCGATTTCCATAAAGCATTCGATTCCATCGAATTATGGTCAGTGCTTGAATCTCTAGAAAATGCACAACCTAAATATAGATTCAAGATACACTAACATAATTAAAAACATATATGAAAATGCCAGCATGCAGATAAAGCTGGACGAAAGCACAAAAACTAATCTCATAAGACTACAACGGGGAGTAAGACAAGGAGACACCATCTCTCCCAAACTATTTACTATCTAGAAGACATTTTTAAGAAACTAGAATGGAACAACAAGAGTCTCAACAACAACTTAAAACTTGAGATTCGCAGATGACATAGTTTTAATAGCCGATAACATCCAAGAACTAAATGATATGTTGAGTTAAATGATATGTATTACGTGATATAAGTTACGCCTTAGGAGTTAGGATGGATAGCTTTCGATTTCGCATCATTTTAAACACAGATACAATAGAAATAAGAAACAGACCGGCAAAGACTTGCTAAGAGTATTTTTAAAACGGAATACCCCAACTAAATCTTTGTCAGCCATAAGGCATTAGCCATAAGTTTTACCATCTTTTGTGATGTTAGTACTTCTGGTTGCTTCGTCCCCCAATGATCATCTATCGTAGCAAACCGTTATCTCTATATATGTAACTACGTAAAATCAACTGAGACCGATCCAATTTTGCTGGTATTGGACAATCATTCGAACCATATATTATTGGATATTTATAATTTTTGCTCGCTTGTTCATTTAAGCATACATGCAAGTAGCAACTATAGAAAAGGGAATATCAGGTTTCTGAACAATCGAAATATTTCCTTTTAACCCCACTAAGTTTTCTGAATCAACACCATCAACATCAAGTGCGAAACAATTGCGAAACAGACAGCATGAACATCAAGAGCTACTGCGGAACAGGCACCATTGACATTAAGAACTTCTGCAGAGCTGACACCATCAACATCCACAGCCAAACCGGGTCCTTTACCTTCATACTCAGGTGTCGTTAAAGTATCACAAGTAGCTCCTATCCCAAATAAACTATTTAAAAAGTCTACTACAAAACAAAGAAATAACAATTAGAAATTTCGACTGCTACACTAGTGAAGGATATTTTCTTGGACAAAAAGCTACGCGAGATGCGAAATTGAAACGAAAAGTTAATGTTGCTAAGAATAAAAAAGCTATAAAAACTAATCCTATAGTAAGCTATGGTCCTGCACTCATACAAAAATAAATTTTAGAAAAAATCAACTTACTATGATAATGGGCATCTTATGTTCCAATATATTCTGCAGCTCGGATAACATCTGAACTGTTTTATTATCCGTAACAGCTACTTTTTCCACTACTGATGGAGGTACAGTTTCATATATTTCCTCATCCTCCTCTTCAACTTTATCCTTATTTTCCAGCTTCTCCTCATGTTTTTCTTTGTGTTTGTCCTTCTTTTTCCATACTCTTTTAATAAAACTTTGCCTCTTCTTGACTTTCTTGTTCAGTTTCTCTTCGTCGGCGTTTTCCTTAATTTTTTCGTGTGACTTTTTCTTCTTCGTTTTGGAACTCTTTTCTGGTTTGTTTTGAAATTGACTGGGTTCGGCGTATTCTACATTATCTTCAACGATATCTTCATATACTTTATCAGTCTTATTATCGTCGTTTCTGTATGGTACGGAATAGGCATTTTCTTCTTCTGTTTTTAAAAGTTCATTCTTCACATCATTTTCGTTTAAGTCTCTCGGTAGATCTTCTAGTGTGTGTTTGTTTGCTTTATCAACTGACGCATATGTGTCATTTTCCACAATAAAATCGTCTTCATTGTATTCTTTTCTGTGCATGAAAAAAGATCTAGAGTGTTTTAACTTCTTTTTCTTTTTTATGTCTTGCTCTGCAGTCTCTAGAGACTTAGAAACTTGTCTCGATTTACCAGAAAATAGAGAACGTTTACTTTTGTTATCGTCTTTCTTGATTTCTTTCTCATTTGTGTTTGGTACTTCTTTTTGTTGTATACTTATTGCGTACGTATCATTTTCTATAATATAAGTTTTTCTTTTATTTTCTTCTGATTTTATCCTTAAAGTATTAACGCCTTGATTTGGTAAAGTCATTGCTTTTTGTACAATATTTTCTATCTCCGTTTTGTCGATCACAATATCTTTATTTAATTTGTCCAAATATTCGCCTGATATTCTTTCGTAAATATGTTCTACCGATTTTGATTCTTCGGCTTTTGGTCTTAAATCTACATCTTCATCCGATTCGTAGTGTAGTGCAGTCCTCTCTTTTTTCCGGGAAGCCATTTTACTCAAAGTATCTTTTGGATTGCAATATGATTGAGCTCCCATTTTTTGAAGTCTGTGAATAATATCCTCGCTGGAGTTCTGAGAAGATTCTGACTCGGGCGTGGAGTTTCTTAGTTGATCTTTGGATTGTGGGATATTCTCCATTGAGTATCTGAAGTGGCTCATCCTGTTGCTGGTTTTATTGGGATGCATTTCGGCTATAATCGCTTGCATCCATCGGTTTTGTTCCTCCAGGTTTTCTGCCCTCTAAAAAAGAAAACAAATATTTGGTAGTGTTTCATTTAGTGTTATTATTTTGAGGATAAGGTTGTTTTAGGACTTACTGCTATCTATATTCCCAATATGAAAGGTAAAGAGGGAAAGAAAGAAAGAAATAATGACGGAATGGAAAAAACATTTTGAAGAATTATTAAATGGTGAGGTGGACCACGAAGCAGTAGATACTGGACGGTTGGAGAAAATGCGATAGTTGAAAGGCAGCCTACAGAGGAGAAGGTGGTGACAGCAATACAAGAAATGGTCTGGTAAAAATGACATATGCATAGAAATGATCAAGTTTGGTGGAGAACAACTACGAAGAAAAATATATCAGCTACTAGTGCAAGTATAGGAAAAGGAAATAATGCCATCGGAGTGGTATGAGGTGCGCATATGCCCTCTGCATAAAAAAGGAGACAAATTGAAGTGTGACAACTATAGAGGTATAGCCTTACTAGACACGGTATACAAAATCTTGGCAAGAATATTGAGAAATAAACTAAATTGCTACACGGAAAGAATCCTACATAAGTATCAGGCCGGCTTTAGAACGGACAGATTTATTGTAGATCAAATCTTCTCATTAAAGGAGATACAAACGACTTGTTATGAAGGTAAAGTTCCCCTGCATGTTTTGTTTGTGGGCATTTTAGACAAGCGTATGCTATAGTCGATAGAGTCAAAATGTATCGAGCAATGGAACATTTAGGTATACCAAAGAAACTGATCTGGCTAGTAAAAATGACATTAAATAACTCTAAGTGTGAAATTGCTTGGCAGGGTCACATATCAGATCAATTTACGGTTGCAAAAGACTAGAGACAGGGAGATCTTTTATCCACTACATTATTCAACGTAGTGTTAGAAACTTTAATCAGAAAATGCAACATGAATGTGGAAGAAACAATCATGAAAAATAAGCACCAGTGCTTGGCATTTGCTGACGATTTAACGATCCTAGCAAAAACCGAGAAAGAATTAAGAAGAGTTGTGAAGAAAATTATCGAACAAGCATAGAAATTCGGATTGGAACTAAATGAAGACACAACCAAATATATATGATCATGGGAGGGACAGAAGGGATAAAAGAAGACTTTAGTGTGAGGTTTGTAAGTGGTAAAAGCTACAGTTTTAAAAGGGAGGACAAATTTGAATACTTGGGTGTAGTTTTCGATAAAAATGGAAAAGAAGAAAATATATTTTTACCAATGTTACAGTTGCTGTCCTAGTTTGTATTTGAAAAACTCCAACAAGATTGGCACCTGGCTTAACTATACATGGTGGACCAAGGCTGATGGATCCTTTACAGGGTGAAATACTCTCGTAGTCGTCTTTCGATCGGTAGTAAAGTAGAAGTCCGCCTTCCAAAACGAACCAGTACTTCTTGTACGATGTGATCATTTTCTGAAACAAACAATTTTTACCATTTAGCTCAATAAAGGAAAGGAAAGGTAAAAATAAATATAAAAGTTTTTGATCTGCTTCTTCTTGTTCTTTTTTTAATGTAGAGATTAACGTTTTTCTTTTTAAATACTGTTTTTTTTTCTTTTTACTTACTTGTTAAAGATATAGAAATCACAGCATCAATAAACGAAGTTGAATTGAATACTTGGTGTTCATTTGTTGAAGTAGTATAAATTCTATATTAGAGGTAATGGATTTTAACAAGAGCCATGAGTCATGTCTATTCAGTACAGAAGTTTACCTGTTATTTTCAAGGTCAGAGCTCTTGTCAAAATCCAGTACTTCTAAATATAGTGACATATCCATGTTTAATCCCACTCACAAACGGATCAAGAAATATTTATCCTAGTTTCGTGTAGTTTGAGCCTACAGTTCATTTTTAGCAGCTTATGATCTGATCCCCGGTATGCTTCAGATATAGCTTTTACGTTTAATACTGAGGTTTTCCATCGTTTTCCAATATATAGACGATTTTATTTTTGTGATCTTTTATTTTTACCAGTATACATTGCTAACCTTCTTGGGTGGTATTTATAAAGTGTATTAGTTATCACTAAATTGTTTTCACTGGCAAACTGTAGGAGATGTTTTCTTCTATGTTTCTAATGCCCAAGCAAAGGAAACCGACAATATCTCTCAAAGTAATTTTAGTTTTTCCCATCTTGGCCCTAAAGTCTCCACTTTCGTATATACATTGCCACAGTTGTAGTTTTATATCCCTTCTTCGCTTTTTGTATGTTTTTGTCTGCATGCTTTAGGGTCTCCTCTGACCACTTTCTTAAACCCTCACTCCCTCTAGGGCTGTGATTGCAACAGAATATAATAGTAGAGAACGACTGGATCAAGATTTAGCTAGTTATTTTGACGTAAAGTAGGTATATGTGAAGTAAATACATAAAGGGAAGTCATTGATTAAATTGAAATAAATTCTTTAAATTATATAAATTAAAATGCATGAAACATAATAGAAATTGAATGGAAAATTTAAAATTTTAATGCTTCTATAACATACTTTACCTTCTTTCCTTTCTTCTCTAGGTAACCAGATATTTTGTTACAATTTTTGCCGTTTTTATCCATAGTAAACGCCTGAAATAAAAAAGGATATACATAATTATTTACTCATACACAGCTTGTTGTTTTAGTATTTTTAGAATTAGAAACGAAATTATCTAGAGGGCCTGATATTAATACGTTTATTTTCTGTCATAATAATTATGTCAAGCATCAATACTCGTTGTTTCTGAACAAAGAACAAATAATTTTTTTGAAAGTTCCCGAAGGTTTGCAGGTTTGCAGATTTGCTACAATATATCTACCCAATTAAAAGGAGAACATATTGAAAAATAAAATACTGCTGCGCTAGCTTCCTAACAATTGAATGTTCTGGTGTTCGATAGCCTACCATTCGAGAAGCCTGTGGAGCAATTCCAACAATCAAAACGAGACTGCTTCGCCAACTAGATTATTCGATGGGTCCAAGCAACATTTCGAAAAGAGGTTTGTCTAAGATATAAATTTGTCAGTGTCAAATAATAAATATATATCATATCATAAATTAAGTGTGTATTTTAGTATTATTGTTAGAAGACTAAAATAACTACAAAATTAATGGGAAAAACCCCGTAATTGGCTGTATACCATCGTTTAAAAAAACACAGAAGTTAAAACACTTCACAAATGTGTATTTAGGTATAAAACAAACAAGTTAAAACTTTTTAAAAAAGTGTCGTCACATTTAAAGTTCTGGCAGAACGTTTTCGATCACTACGGATCATCTTCAGTGCCTCGTATTTGTTGCTAACTATATAAATATGGTGTCTATAAGACTACCATGTTTGATTTGGTAACGTGTCACATTTTACATTAGGTAATGTTGATACTGTAGGTCGATGACAATGGATGTATTTAAAATTTATTACTTTAGGGACTACATGTCTCCTAAGCTCGAGTACTTGCACGTTGTCAGTTGAAGCGACGACACAGACGTCTCTTCAACTGACAACGTGCAAGTACTCGAGCTTAGGAGACATGTAGTCCCTAAAGTAATAAATTTTAAATACATCCATTGTCATCGACCTACAGTATCAACATTACCTAATGTAAAATGTGACACGTTACCAAATCAAACATGGTAGTCTTATAGACACCATATTTATATAGTTAGCAACAAATACGAGGCACTGAAGATGATCCGTAGTGATCGAAAACGTTCTGCCAGAACTTTAAATGTGACGACACTTTTTTAAAAAGTTTTAACTTGTTTGTTTTATACCTAAATACACATTTGTGAAGTGTTTTAACTTCTGTGTTTTTTTACTAAAATAACTGTTAAAATTAAAGACTAAATAAATTAACAATACAAACAGTGCAATACTATCACTTAAAGATTTTATTTGGTTCTATAGTAGTTTTTCACTTCATCCTCGTATTTTAATATTTAAAATTGATTGCATATTTTGTAAATTTATAGATATTTATCATCGAGAATTTATGGTTGTTTTATTGGGGATATTGTATAATGTACCAGCGATTTTCATTAATCTTTATATCAATTTAAGGCCACTTACAAGTATAATCAAAAGACATGTAGGTGTTAATAAAGATGATAGTACATTGATAGAATTAAGCTACTAAGGGAACTAAACTATGAACTTATAGCTATTTTACAAATGAGTCCATTCACTTATATTGAAATGTTTAGTATCAGGTTTAAAAAGTTCAAACGTAATTTTTAAACTTACGTTAAGAAATTAGTTTCGATCATTTTATTACATAATAAAATGCAAAGTGCTTTACAGAAGGTTAACTTAAATGATAAAGGTCTCAGATTAATGCGAAACTTATATTGGAGACAAAAAAAAAATTATTTAAAAAATTCCTTTATGAACGGTATAAAACTCTATCGAACTAGATCAGGGAATTATAGTTTATTCGTCTTCCGGGTTTGGACCGTGTCATTTGTGAGTGACCCAAAAGTGGGTTCATCTCAAAGTGGAGATGAACCCACTTTTGGGTCACTCACAAATGACACGGTCCAAACCCGGAAGACGAATAAACTATAATTCTGACTCTGGCCGTGGAAGCCTACGATTTCATTAGATCAGGGAACGTTTTTGGAATAACTATTTCATCATCAGTGCTATCTGTATGTACATATTTGAAGCCACTAAATATGTGGGCAAAAACCCTTTAAAAGTAGTTAGATTAACTTGGAATTACATCTTTGATAGTAAAAAACTAAAATGTTTAAGTTATGAATGGAATTCGTCACATGGTAACATAGGACTCCACTGGGGTTGCTAGTCTTTATACAAAGTGTCGGTAAGGGAGTTTGGAATGAAGAGGCATTTATCCATAATGGTTAATGAGAAGAAATTGAACCTTTAAACCATTACAAACAGCTTGGTTGCTGGATTGACTATGTGCTTAACCAAAAACAAGAAATTATAACGAAAATTGCTCAAGCTATAGATGGTAAGATTCGTGGTCTACTATGCGATACACATATCGGTATCAAACTAAGATTGAAACTTGCAAAATGTTTTGTTTGGTCTGTTGTTCTCTGAAAAGTTTTCTTCAGTCTGTTTCAATTGTACTGAAAAGCACTACTATAAATATAGTACATAGGTAGAAGTATTGTCACTGTAATTTTATACTTAGAGTATTGCTTTACAACGTTAGAGTAGGTCAGCATCACGTGTTTACAAACATGTTTCACTTACTAGTCGTGATTGTAAACCAATCACAACAAATTGTTAGACAATAAAGTAATATGGTGACTAAAAATACATTTTATTATTACTTCAATTAACTAACAGTCCAAAATAAAGCTAGGCCTGACACCAACCTAATTATTAATATAAGTTAACTACTGAGAAACCTTTGCCACCATAACTGCTAACTAACAATGATGGAGACGGCATATAAAGAAGAAGAACAGAAGTATCATCAAGTCTTCGTATTCTTCTCCGTTTAATAATATTGTGTTTAATAATATTGTAAATCTTCTTGATTGTTTAGCCTTTTTACTGTTCCCGAAAGGCTGAGATCAAATTGTCGTCTTTAAACTGAGTCTAAGCCCATCTTATCTCTTTTTATTCACTTCATTTTATTTTTCTTCAGGGTGTTTCCCAGATTTTCACTGACACTTAACATATTCGCTGCCCCCTATCGCCAAAAGGAGTTTTGCGTGCATGTATTAGGTGCCACTGTCGCCAAGGGCGTTTTGTCTTACTTGAGCGAGGCGCCACTGTCGCCTTGTGTCATTCACTAATTTTGGAAATAAATAGGTTGTTTTACCAGTCAGCTCTACGCATAATTACTTCTTGTATCTAGGCACCTAGATAAAGGTTCAATTCATACATTTTTGACTCTGGCTTTTTATCTTAAGCTTTTGGTTTACACTGGACTGATCGATGATTTTGGAGGAAAAGGACACACTGAAAAATTAGTGTTGCATTTATTACAGAGAAAACGTAATGTTGGACCTGCTGTTTATATGGACATTTTCTACAATTCTTTCGAATTAGCCAAGAATCTTCTGAATACTAAAGCCCGTTCTACTGACACTCTAAGACTTAATAGAAAACATCAGTTCAAAAGATATTACACAAAAAATACTACTTAGCCAAAGACGAAACCAAAGTGGAAGAATATAAGGGACGTCCTATAGGAAACTAGAAATAATATGCAAGAGGCTGTTTCAAAATAAGGAGTCCATAAAATGAAACCAGAGTCTATAGTTAAATATGTATAATCAGTATATCTGTGAAGTGGATCATCAAGATAAACTTATTGCTTATTATGCATGCCAATGGAAAACAGTAAGATGACCTACTAAAATTTATATACATAGTCTTAAGATGATGTTGATAAATGCAGGCATCTTGTACAAGCAATATTCCGTGAAACGAATCAACTTATGACTATATGACTTTCGTATGTCAGTCATTAGAGGTATGCTCTTGTTTCTTCCGACCCCGAATGGCTATTAGGTTTCCGAGGGCAGACGGGTCACTATATTTCCTTCTATTACACACTCTAGAAAGGCAACGGGAAACCACCTAGAGCCTAATTTTCCCAAGAAACAATCATGGAAATGGCTGATAAATACAACGGCCCCGAGTACGGGCGCTCCTTAAATGGAGCAGGGGTGCTAAGAATCTCCCGGTCAGCTAGAAACATGAACACATTTTCTAAAGAAAGAAAAATAGGTACATGGAATGTAAGAAGCATGTACGAACCAGGAAAAATTCATAACACCATTAAAGAAATGAAGCGTCTAAATATAAGTATCCTTGGAATAAGTGAAATGAGATGGCCGGGGTCTGGAAAAGTAACTGTAGATGACCACGTTGTATACTATTCAGGAGAAGACAGCTCAAAACACAAAAATGGTGTAGCAATAATTGTGTCGAAGGAAACAGATGAAGCTGTAAAAAACGTCGTCCTATTCTTAGACAGGATACTGATGATACAAATACAATCAACAACAATCAATGTGAACATATTACAAGTATATGCACCCACACAAGACTATGAACAAGAAGAAATTGAAAAATTATATCATGATTTAGAAAAAGTATTAGCACCTACAAAGAAACACGATCTCAATATTATCATGGGAGATTTTAATGCAAAGATTGGTGAAGGTGAACAGGAAGATGTCATAGGGAAATATGGTCTGGGAATACGAAATGAAAGAGGAGATATGTTGGCATCTTTTTGCGTAGAAAAGCAATTAGTAATAATGAACACAATTTTCAAACTTCCAAAACGTCGTCTTTACACCTGGAAATCACCAGCAGATACACCTGAACGAGTTTTTCGTAACCAAATAGACTTCATATGTATAAATAAGAGATACAGAAATTCAGTATTATCAGTAAAAACATATCCAGGGGCAGATGTACCAACAGATCACAATATTTTAGTAGGAAAAATAAGACTGAGATTAAAAAGAGTTACAAGGACGAATAAGCAAACAGTTACTATTGATAGAGAAACGATGCTAAATGATATTGTAAAACAAGAAATAACTAGTATATTAGAACAAAAGATGAAGTTAACATCAAGCA